ATATCTAAAAATAATCTGCATTAGCTAGAACTGGGATTTTCGCCAAGAAAAATAACATAAAATACATTCACTCATATAAAACGAATGGGGCCCTACAATCTACCCTCCTTAAAAGTTTTCCATCCTCGAAAATTTAACAAGAACAAGCTACCCAAAGGAATAATCTACACATGAGAGAACTAAAAATTCTGAAATCCGGATAGAACTCCAATAACTCGTCGTCGCTTTCCCGAGTGCTCACCCTCACCGAAACGGCTCCTCTAGACTTTGACGAGTACCACAACCGGTTCCTTGACTGGTGGGGCCTCTGTCCCACCACAACCACCAGTACCTCCTCATAGGTTAGGTTCTGCCCATACTGCAGCTCGTCAAAGTTTATCCCATGCTACGAGAACATGCACATAACACCTTCACTCGAGGTGTACATATCTCCTCTACTCGAGGTGTACAACGTGCTGTGCATTCCCGAAAGCTCTGGTATTGAAGCCAACCATTCGGCTAGGTCATTGACTCGATCTAGAACTAAAAGGGCTAATATCGCACGATGGCGACTCCCTTCTCTTCCTAGAAGTAAGGTGTCTCACACCTCTTTCCACACCAATATCTCGCATCGCATCCATCAACACACAAGACTCCAATCGGCCTTCTGATGTATTGACAACATGCTACGATCATCCAACATTATGGGTCATTATGTGGCAACAAGCTTTTGTCTCGTGTCCGGGTCACGCTAAAAACTTGTCCACTATCTCATCATAACCGTGTGTGTACGTCAAAACGGTCGACATGATACCCCATACTAACAGACTAACTCTATTACGTAACACTCTTCGTAATCTCGATCTTATGAAGGAAACATAGTCTCCAATCAAAACTCAAGACTTTGCCCGACATTAATTCGGAACTTTTATCTTGTCAACTCCAGAAAATCTCGCATATAGCATAAGATCTACTCGACAAGTCTCACTTAACCGAGAATTACTGATTAGGGGATTCATACAGCTGTTCAATGAGACTTGGAGCTCTCGGTTCCAAGTTCGGAAGAAAGGTTCAAAGGAGAATTTTGTTTGACACGAACACCAGTCGCACAAAATGAAAAAATATCAATGGTTTGGGATTAGTTCACTGTCACCCGAGATGTGGCACACTCGCTGGCGCTTCATATGCAAGGCGCTAGAATGCGTTTGTGTACCTACTCGGAGGCCAATTACAAGGTCGAGGTTTGACCATACACACTTGCTTGGGGAGTTCGTGAGTTCGGTGATGATGGCGGCAGCTCTCGTGCGAGCCAACAGTCGACAACTGCAGTTGACCTCCCGTCTCTCAGCACGGGCGTGCATGCTCAACCATAACTTCAGGTGGCTACACCCAACCAGGGCCAGTGTTCGGCTTAAGGTTCACACAAGAAAATTTCTAGTTCAGGGTTAATAATTTCAAGGTAACCAGAATGAAAGGGTTTTTCACAATATTTCAAAATAACAAAAATTTAGGGTTCGACCAAAACAATTTCCATGGCAATTAGGCATCATACGAGGAGTTTTTAAGAGTTTCAAAATATAACAAGGCATGAAACCGAGTTCCAAGTCCACTATCTCTTCCCAATCTAAACAATTTCAAGCGAATATCTAACAATAGAGATACGGAAAAATTACCAAAGAGATCGAATACCAGTCCCCCAGCCAGGAATAATCCTAATCCAACTGTCAATTTCGAAATGAAGTGGTTAGCCCGCCTGACCCTTCTGACCAATAGTGTCGGCCGCCACATCAGCTCTATCTCAGGAAGCTAATCGTGTTGGCAGTCCTAAACGGGCTCAATTCCTATATTGCTAAGAACTTCAAGCTTCAGAATCTCATCGCATGGCCTCCTTTGATCTGTCGGACCTTATTTTATCTTCCATTAGTGGTAGCTATGCCTCGAATCGTTCTTCGAGACTGCCCCGGTTACTTCTGTTGGTCGAACTAGTCCTAACTCCTTGGTAGCGATTGATCACCCTTTGTCATTAGTCGGTTGATTTGACTCGATCGCGTATCAAAAATAGACCAGGACATAACGATGAAGACCATGACAAACTGATCCGGGTATGAATGGAATACCCAGTCTGAATGGCATAACCACGAACGAAAGAATGATATACGACAAGCAAAAAACTGAAGTACTCGTCTTAATACACAAGGTTGCAAAACTTGAACTCAAAATTCCAAACGAACCAAAACCAAAAAACAAGAGTTTTCAAAGGGTTGCAAAAGTCCAAGAAAAACAAATGATTACTCCCAAAACAATGAAAGGAAAAAAAAAGAGAGTTTTCAAAGACTACGATGAAGAAAATTCAAGAATGAAGATGGCTATGCCCCTCTAGGCAACTATCGGCGATTCAAGGCACTGGTTTGTGGCTTATCGGCAGTCGAAACACACGATCTACATCATTGGTGCTTTCATTGAGAGGTGTTGATCGTGTGTTTTTCTCCTACCCTATTCTCCTTCTTTTTTTTTCTTTTCCTATTTTTCGTCCCCCCTCATATATTCAAAAAAAAAATAAATAAATAAAATCTTCAAACACGAGTCCGCGAAGCAAGGAACGCAAGCAAGAGAAGAAAGCCATGGCCAACAAAGAGATGAAGGACAAGATCGATAATCTCGACGTCCAATTCCGCGGCATGAGCGAAGCTATTGAAACATTGGGTGAAGGACTCGGCAATACCAAGTCAACGGTGCAGGATTTAATGGAAACCATGAACCGGCGATTTGATGAGATGGCGCGCACGGTTCTCGCTCGCCTGCCACCGCCGCAGCAACGCGATCAGGCGCGACAGCACGAACGCGAGCGGCCTGAAGGAGAGGATAGGCGGCGCGAGGAGCATGAGCGCGAGGACGACCTCGATCGACAGTCCCAGGCATCCACATACCGCGATCGGCGTGCACCCGATAAACCGCGCATCACGTTGTCCACATTCACAGGCAGTGATCCGGACGCATGGCTCAATAGGGCAACGCAATATTTTGAGCTCAATGAAACCGATGGTACAGATCGCGTCAGGTATGCCGCTTATTATCTCGATGGTGAGGCCAATGTATGGTGGCAATGGCTCACAAGGATTTATCACAAGCGACAACAAATTATCACTTGGGATGTTTTTGAAAGAGAGTTGCTTACACGGTTTGGTACGTCTGATTATCATAACTACAATGAGGCTCTTACGCGCATACGACAAACGGGCAGTCTACGCGAATACATCAGGGAGTTCGAAGGATTAGCTTGCCGCGTGCGCGACTGGCCGGAAGATGCATTAGTCGGCGCGTTTATAGGCGGGTTGAAATTTAACTTGGCTGCTGAGGTTCGGCTCGAGAGGCCCGACACCATGCATGACGCGATGGAAGTGGCCCGACGACGAGAAGATCACCTGGTTGCAACACGAAGGGGACGGGCGGACACCCGGATTCCCGATACACGTCGCACGGGTCCAAGCCAATTACCTGCGAGCGCGCGGCCTACTTTCAATACGCGGCCAGCAGGGTCATTAGTCCGACGACTGTCGCCAGAGGAAGTCAGGCGGCGACGTGAAAAGGGTCTTTGTTTTAAGTGCGAGGAGAAGTTTACCCCGGGGCATCAGTGCAAGCAAGCCTTTGTAATTGAGGTTGCCAACCCGGACGACAAGGAGGGTGAGGTCGAGGAGGAACCGCCTTAGGAGGACGAGATTGAGGCCTTCAGTGAGGAGCCCGAAATTTCGATGCATGCAATGGCAGGAATCAGAGGACCAAGGACAATGCGACTACCAGCATGGGTCAAAGATCGGAGAGTAATGGTGCTCGTAGACAACGGTTCGTCGCATAATTTCATCAATGCTGACTTATCTCAAAAGTTGAAATTACCAACCACAAAGATCGAGCCCTTTGAGGTACGGGTAGCCAATGGAGAGAGGTTGCAATGCACTGAATCTTTTCGAAAGGTACCAATCAAGTTCCAAGGAGTCACGGTAAAAGCTGATATGTATGCTTTACCCCTAGTTGGACCAGACGTAGTACTGGGAGTTCAGTGGCTCGAAGGACTAGGCAAGGTGACGACCGACTATCGAACAGGAATTATGGAGTTCAACTCCGAAGGTCGTCAGGTCACCCTCAGCACCGGCACTGAGAAAGGAACTAAGGAAGTAGGGTTGAAGGGCATCGAGAGAGTTTGGCGTGGTGGAGGCCAAATTTTTGCAGTTGTAGTCGAGAACATGGGAGCGCACCTAGATCGTGACGAACAACAGCAAGGAGACGTACGCGAGCTTCTCGAGGAGTTTGAAGGGGTACTGGGCGAGCCTAAAGGGCTACCACCGCACCGGGAGTTCGATCATCGCATACCATTGGTCAATGAACAGCATGCCATACATGTCCACCCTTATAGGTACGCTCACTTTCAGAAAACCGAGATCGAACGGCAGGTTGCGGAGATGCTAGAGTCAGGACTAATCCAGCACAGCAAAAGTCCGTTTTCTTCTCCTGTACTGTTAGCTAAAAAGAAAGACGGCACGTGGAGGTTCTGTACTGACTACCGAGCCCTAAACGCTGCAACCATCAAGGACCGGTTTCCTATTCCAAGTGTTGATGACATGCTTGATGAGTTAGTTGGGTCACGTTATTTCTCTAAGCTCGATCTGAGAGCTGGTTACCATCAGATTCGACTCCACAAGACCGACATTCCAAATACAGCTTTTCGTACACTCCAGGGGCACTATGAGTATCTGGTTATGTCATTCGGATTATGCAACGCCCCATCCACTTTCCAGTTCGCCATGAATTCTATCTTCAAGGAGTACCTGCGTAAATTCGTTCTGGTATTCTTTGATGATATCCTGATCTATTCAAAGTCTTGGGGCGATCATCTTGGGCATCTGAGAGTAGTGCTCAAAATTCTGGAAGCCAACTCGTTCCACATAAAGCCATCCAAATGTTCTTTTGGGCAGATGATGGTTGAATATTTGGGGCACTTCATATCACACGAGGGCGTGAAGGTCGACCCACGAAAGATTGAGGCTATGGTCGATTGGCCTAAGCCAACTAGTCTCACGCAGTTGAGAGGATTCCTAGGGTTCACGGGCTATTACCGGAAGTTCGTGAAAGATTATGGAACCATCGCCAAGCCACTGACAGAGATGACAAAGAAAGGCGGGTTCACATGGACCGAAGCTAGCGAGGAAGCGTTTGGAAAATTGAAAGAAGCCATGACTACAACGCCAGTACTCGCCATGCCTAGGTTTGATGTATTGTTCGAGGTACACACCGATGCGAGCGACATTGGAATTGGAGTTGTACTAGTGCAAGAGGGGCGACCCCTAGCCTATCTCAGTAAAGCACTGGGCACTACTCGATTGGGTCTGTCAGTGTACGTGAAAGAGATGCTAGCAGTTGTCGAGGCTGTACGGTGCTGGAGGCCTTATTTATTAGGTCGACGTTTTCAAATTGTTACCGATCAACAACCGCTTAAGCACCTATTGGAGCAAAGGATTGTTACCCCCGAGCAGCAGAAGTTCGTGTCTAAACTCATGGGGTTTGACTTCGAGATAATCAATCGACCAGGACGACAGAACGCAGTAGCCGACGCACTATCCCGACGAACAGACGTGGCCGAGTTGAGTGCGATCACTGGGCCTACTTGGGCCATTTGGGAAGAGATCAGGAAGGCGCAAGTAGAGGATACCCATTGCCAGGAGCTGCGCCAATCGATAGAAGCTGGTAAGACGACTGCTATCGATTACGAGTTGCATAACGATCTACTTCTACACCGAGGTCGAGTCTATGTCCCCGACAGTGGGCAGTTGCGCGAGCAGATATTGCAGCACTTCCATGACTCTAAGGTTGGAGGCCACTCGGGTATCTATCGCACGTGGATGAGAATAGCCAACACTTTCTTCTGGCCGGGACAGCAAGGTACCGTCCGAGACTACATAGCACGATGCGACGATTGTCAGTGTACTAAGTCAGACTCGCGACGGCCAAGTGGGCTATTGCAACCACTACCAGTACCCGAGGCAATTTGGGAAGACATCACCATGGATTTCATCGAGGGGCTACCAAATTCTAATGGATTTGACGGTGATATGGTTGTGGTGGATCGTCTCACGAAGTATGCTCACTTCATACCTATTACCCATCCTTATACCGCGAAGTCGATTGCCAGGTTATTCGTGGAGTACGTAATGAAACTGCATGGGGCACCTCGGTCTATAGTCTCTGATCGAGACCGGATTTTTATGAGCAACTTTTGGTCTGAATTCTTCAAGTTGCAAGGGACTAAATTGTCTATGAGCTCAGCCTACCACCCACAGACAGACGGACAAACGGAGGTAACCAACCGAACCCTTGAGCAGTATTTGAGGTTCTACGTCCATCAGTTCCCAAAGCGGTGGGAAAACTTTTTACCGTGGGCTGAGTATTGGTACAACACCACTTACCACGAGTCGACCAAGATGACGCCATTCGAGTTGGTCTATGGGCGAAAACCCCCAACATTGATCAATTATTCAGAAGGGAGTACAGTCAACGATGAGGTTGGTCGAGAACTAGATGAACGAGACTTGATGTTACGTGAGCTGAAGAGAAATCTCGAAGGCTCAATTAACCGAGCCAAAGCCTTCGCAGATGGGAAAAGGCGTGAGGAAAATTTTGTGCCAGGCGAGTATGTCTACTTGAAACTACGACCATTCCGACAGCGCACCACAGCACAAAGGGCCGCGACTAAACTAGGAGTCCGCTACTATGGGCCTTATCAGATTCTAAAGCGCATTGGTCAGGTAGCTTATCGCCTTGAGTTACTAGAAATCTCACACATCCACCCAGTTATCCATGTCTCACAACTCAAGAGGAGCTTGGGAGAAGCGCAGAAGTATTGTGAGGAGTTACCTGCGACTGCAACCGATGGTAGGGCCATAGTTCAACCAAAACAAGCGATTGAGTACCGTAAGGTAAAGAGAGCAGGGCGCTATCGTTGGGAGGTACTAGTTGACTGGGAGGAATTGCCATCTGAAGAAGCCACGTGGGAGGATCTTGAAGAGATGCGAGACCAGTTTCCGAACTTCATCCTTGAGGACAATGAATCACTTGAAGGGGACGAGAATGATGCGGAAGTGGCTAGGCAGCTCAAGAACGCGGCAAGCCGGGCTTATCACGCACGCAAGAGACAAGCACGAGCGACGGCAGAAGTGCGCGTGCTAGAGTGAAGTGCGCGAGAGACGGGCAAGGATAGGCTGCACGCGGATACGCGCACGGTGCACGCGGCTGGCATGCGTGGCGTGGACGGGCCAGACGTGCGTAGCGCGGGGTCGATAGGCGCGCACGCGGGAAGGTCAGGCGCGACGGAAGCACGCGCAACGGATGAGGCCTCATGCCTCGAGGCACGCGGGAAGGCGGGACAACACGCGCGCGTGCTGGGCGCAACAGAGCAGCACGCGAAGAGCGCGGACGGCGCACGGGTACGCGCGGGGCGCGCAACCCCATTCCTCGAGGAATGCGGAATGGCGGCAGGACACGCGCATAGGGCAGGCGCGCTGGGCGCTGGCGTGCTGGCCACGCCGGATGACGACGCACGCGCGAAAGGCGGTGCCCTAGTCCTCAAGGACTATGGCGTGCAGGGCGATACGCGCGGAGGGGGCTAAGGGCGTGCAAGGCGGTTGGGAGACTTGGTGTGTAAGTCAAGTTGTTTCCATCCTACATTATGAGATCTAGATTGTTTAGGATACTCAATATTTTATTGCTTATTATTTCCCTAGGTAGATTAGGACTAGATATAATTTGGTGCCTATATAAAGGACCAATCCCCATGTTATTTTTCATCATCCAAGAATTAATAAGAACTCAAGAACTTTTGTTCATTCTCTTTGCTTTAGTTTTTCACCAAAATTCTATAGCAATTATATCGTTTAGAGGGGTGCGGTTTGTGAACCTCTAGGCAACTATCGGCGATTCAAGGCACTGGTTTGTGGCTTATCGGCAGTCGAAACACACGATCTTCATCAGCGGCGCACGACGCGCTCGCCACGGCCCCTTTCATGTTGATCGTGAATAAGTTATGTTTTTAAGTCATTTTTGATAATTATGTTCATGTTAAGTTATATCATGTTCAGTGAAGTCAGAATTCTCGGGAGTTAATGCCGAACGGTCGGCAAGGGTTGGCCTTAGGCCGTGCTGTCCGCACATAACGGCAGCAACGCCCAGCCAAACGTGCCAGCATGCAGTACCGCGCGTCAGCGCGCGACGTCGCGCGACAGCGGGCCGCAGGGTGCCAGTTAAGTTGCCCCGTTGTTCGCAGCGTTGCCCAGTGCACACCTACGATCAGTTCATGCCCAACGGTACCGCAGCAACGCGCCAGCACACGCCCACAGGCGTGACTGCGTGCAGTACCGCGGGCAGGCCACCAGTTAGCCCAGCGGGACGCCACACATGCCCAGCACGCCCAGCCGCGCCTGGAACGGCGATCCAGTACCCGCAGCCAGCCAGCAGCACCCGTGCACGCTGCGCGCAGCACGCGGCAGGCTGCTAGCCGAGTCAAGCCAACTACCGGTTCGGTCGAACCGCAGTCCGGTCCAGACCGGTTCAGACCGGCTGGACCGGTTCAGCCCTATTTTTAATCAGTTCGGTTCTTATGATTATGTTTTCAGCCCGGTTCATGATTCTAAGGATATTTTCA